AATCATCCTTAGCTCTCAGGCCATCCCAAAACAAGCAGCAATATGGATATGGCCCATAGGCCATAGTTTACCAACTCCTGATCTAGACCAGTGCTGCCCAACAAAGAGTGTGAGCCACAAATGTAATTTTAAATTTTCTAGTAGCTACATGAAAAAATTAAATATGCTGAATTTAACCCAATAAATCCAAATATTAAACATTTAATCAGTATTGAAAAAATTATAATCAGACATTTTACATTCTTTGTACTAAATCTTCAAAACCTGCTGGATGTGGTGGCTCATGTCTGTAATCCCAACACTTTGGGAGGCTGAGGCAGAAAGATCTCTTAAGGCCAGGAGTTTGAGACCACCCTGGGCAATATGGTAAGACCTTGTCTCTACAAATAAATTAAAAAATTAGCTGGGCATGATGGCATGCACCTGTAGTCCCAGCTACTTGTGAGTCTGAGGGAGGAGGATTGCTTGAACCCAGGTATCCAAGGCTGCAGTGAGCTAGGATCACGCCTCTAACTCCAACCCAGGTGGCAGACCATGATCCTGTCTCAAAAAAACAAAAACAAGAAAAAAAAACTTCAAAATTCAGTGTATTTCTTTTTTTTTTTTTCTTTGAGATGGAGTCTCACTCTGTCGACAGGCTAGAATGCAGTGTTGTGATCTTGGCTTACTGCAACCTCCACCTCAGTTAAGCAATTCTCCCCCCTCAGCCTCCCAAGTAGCTGGAACTACAGGTATGCGCTACCACGCCCAGCTAATTTATGTATTTTTTTTAGTAAAGAAGGGGTTTCGCCATGTTGGCCGGGATGGTCTCGATCTCTTGACCTTGTGATCCGCCCACCTCAGCCTCCCAAAGTGCTGGGATTACAGGCATGAGCCACCGCACCCGGCCTTCAGTGTATTTCACACTTATAAAGCACCTCAATCAACAATTGGAACTAGTTATATTTCAAGTGTTTAACAGCTCCATGTGTCTACTGGCTCCATGCTGGACAGCACACATCTAGACCAAATTACACCCTTGTCATAGTGAGTTAAAGCCTACATGGTTGGTCAGGCCTTTGGTCTTCAAATCTAAAGAACTATGCCTAGTCATCAATTCCTGGGTTTGGGGCCTTGAAGCTTCAAAAGGATACTTACCTTTCTCTCCACAGTATGAAAAGGCTTTCTCATCCAAGTATCTGCAGAACTGGTCTCCCGCTAAGCCAACAAAAGAGGTATTCCATGTTCAGTGCACCTACAAGACAGTCTCATGTTCTTCCTGCCAGTTAACTCCTTTTAGCCTTCTCTAAATTCTCATATCCTTCTCTGACCACACCCTTAATTCAAGCTCCCCAAATATTTTTTTTTTCACTCATAAACATTTCTCTCTTCCACTTGCACCCCAGTGCATCTCTTCCCATGAAGGCTACACTCAAATTATTGCCAATGATCGTGGTCATCTACTGCCTTCTGTGCCCCGTTCCAAGGTGAGATATTATCTTCATTCCTATCAAGAAAGGCAAACAATTGAGGCACAGAACTGGGAGATCTGCAGTCTCTCACAGCCATTATCTGAAAAATTAAAGTTTAATCTAATTAATGTTGCAATGTGAGAGCCCCTGAACTTCCAGCCAGCTTATCCAGCAGGTTAGAGTTGTGTTTAGCACCCTTCATAAGTTCTTAAATTGATCAATGATCTGTAAAAAAGAAAGCCTTCAGGTGATGACACTTGTGCAGTGGGTATTCCTCTGCCACACTCAGCCTAAGGATGCACAAGGCTTTTTTTTTTTTGAGACTAAGCCCCACTCTGTTGCCCAGACTGGAGTGCAATGGCACGATCTCGGCTCACTGCAACCTTGACTCCTGGGTTCAAGCGATTCTCTGGCCTCAGCTTACCAAGTAGCTGGGACTACAGGTGCGCACCACCACACCCAGCTGACTTTTTTGTATTTTTAGTAGAGAGGAGGTTTCGCCATGTTGGCCAGGCTGGTCTCAAGCTCCTGATCTCAGGTGATCTGCCCGCCTTGCCTCGGCTTCCCAAAGTGCTGGGATTACAGGTGTGAGCTACCATGCCTGATCTTTTTTTTTTTTTTTTTTTGGAGACAGAGTCTCGCTTTGTTGCCCAGGCTGGAGTGCAGAGGTGCAATCTCGGCTCACTGCAATCTCCACCTCCTGGGTTTAAGTGATTCTCCTGCCTCAGTCTTCCGAGCAGCTGGAACTCCCAGCTAAATTTTTGTATATTTAGAAGAAACGGAGTTTCACCGTGTTAGCCAGGATGGTCTCAATCTCCTGACCTGTGATCTGCCAGCCCAGCATCAGCCTCCCAAAGTGCTGGAATTACAGGCATAAGCCACATCGCCCAGCCTAAGGATGCTGAATTTAATTTGGCAGAGGCAAGGGGATGAAAAAATTAGGCCTGCAAAGCCTAAATGAGGGAGGTGGGTAAGGAAGAGTGGGAAGATTATGCTTTCAGTCTTGTTTCATAACCATGCATTCCTGAAGGTAAAGAATGGAAATAAGATGAACAGAGGTTCTGTCAATTGGTCAGTTACTTGGAGTGAGAAGCCCTATTGAGGTATCCCTTTTCATCTTTAGGCAAATCCCTGGGGTTCCTTCATGGGCACCTGGCAAATGCCTCTGAAGATACCCCCCGCTCGGGTGACGCTGACCTCCCGTACAACTGCTGGTGCTGCCTCCCTTACCAAATGGATACAGAAAAATCCTGATTTACTCAAGGCCTCCAATGGGCTGCGTCCTGAAATCTTAGGCAAGGTATCTATTCTTCCCATCTAACCCCAAACCCTGTTCTCAATTTCATTTCAATCTCAAAAAATGTATATTGTTATGCCACCACTATCCCAGCAGGGGGGACCTCTAACCAATTCATCTTATCCTGACTAGTCCCTAATCACCTTCTGAGGCCTGAAGGAATGGGCTAAGGACATCTTACCCCGAACAGTAGAAAATGATCTAATCTCAAAGTGGGGGTGGGTAATTAGAGAAATCAAATTTCAATTTTCTTATTTGAAACGATCTACTGCCCATGGTATGGGGAGAAAGGGAGTTCGAATCCTGAGGTACATTGGGAATGATCTGGGCCTGACCAGAGACATGACTGTCTATTCCACTCTACCACTGACAGTCCCATGATCCAGACAGTCAGAAGACACTCAGGAAGAAGTCTATCACAAAGACTGTACAACAAGCACCAAGTCCAACCGTAATTCCACGCTCCCCAGCTGCCAACCTCAATTCCCCAGATGAACTCCAAAGCTCACACCCCTCTGCAGGTCATACTCCAGGTCCCCAAAGCCCAGCAAAATCCTAACAGCCCACCTAGAAGTCCACATATGCTAGAACTCTAGGCAGGGCCTAAGCTAGCTGAGGTCCAGAAACACAAACCTTAAACTTCATATGGACAAGGTAGCCACACACTGAAAAACCTGTATAGCAACTGAGTGAAATAAACAAGAGCCCCCAGGCAGAACTGTAGAACAGGGAAATTTTGGGGTGGGAGTAAAAGCAAATTTGGAAAATAAACATTTTTTGTTGAATCTTTTACTGATCTGGATTTTCTGTTCTTGCTATGGCTGCCTCTTGTAACACAATTAGGGGAAAGAAGGTGGGGGAAAATAAAGTAGGGAAAAGAACATACCGTGGTTTGGGTGTAACACATTTTTACAAGAATTGAGTCAGTTATACTCCAGAAATGACCAAGAGAAAGTTGGTCTGAATCATGGAAAGAAGGCAGAATCTCAAAAAACCAGTCCCTCACCTCTACCCACTCATTTTTTATCCTGAGCACATATAATTAATGACTTCAAAATCAGAAACAGAATTGTTGAACATAGTATGTGTATGTGTGTTTGGAGGTGGGGAAGAAAAGGTAGAGAAAGCCAAAGGAGAAGATACTAGCTTATGTAAGACTTTGTATCTAAGCATAAGTACAAATATAGTTTGAAAATTGAAGATATTAAAGTGATTGGAAGACAGAGAAGAAAAACAAAGATGGTAAGTAGAAATTTAAGGCATGATGATCTGTCTCACCTCCCACCCACCCACTACCATGCTTCAAACACCGAAATGGTAAGAAAGCACCAAAAAATTCATCTGCCCTACCCATTTTCTAGCCGCCAACATCTGTTTATCATTGACCTCATTTTACATTTTCCTGGCACTGGCTGTTAAATTTAATGCCCTTGCCAAACCTTTCCCAGTCCCAATGACGAAGTGTTCTTTCATGATCACTTGTCCCTAATTCCAAGGACAAAGTAGAGAACAGCTCATTTAAAATGGAGGAAAGGTACAAAGACTTCCCAGGGCCCCTCTAGTAAAAACAGAAAAGCAATCATTACTTAAAGCCAAATACTATTTGGGACACTGAATGAAGACTATTGAAGCAGCAGGTCCGCACCTTAAGTAAGGTCTTCCTATCCAACTGACACCAGCCAGTTACTGTTTCCCCTCTTCAACCCACGCTTTAACTGGTTGGCCAACAACTCAAAGTGACAGATGAGATAGGTCATTCCAGAGTTTCCGAAAACTATCAAACAGCATACCTGCTAAGGCCTGGCCTATATGGATTTTAAAAGCAGCAAGTTTTCTCGTTATACATTTTTTGCCAGGTTTTCAACAATCCCGTCTCTTTTTTAATCTCTATTCTCCTTTCTCCCCAAGCCTGTATCTTCAGGTCATCATCCCTTAGCTATCACCAACACTAGTCCTCTGTGCCCCTGACTGAATCATAATTTGCTGTATTATACCATCAAGCTTATAATCAGTCCTGAATGGGATTTTGGTGCCTGTAATAACTCAAAAGCACTCTACATGCATCACTTCTTTTTCTCCTTCCTTCTCTGAGGCTTCTCTGTGATAGTTAAATCTCTGGCTAAGTTCTATTTGATTTCCCTGAAAATTTTTCCAGTTATGAGATGTAGGAAAACTGAAGACCAAAGGGAAGAGGAGGAAATTGATCCCTTCCCAACAGCCATTTTCTTGGTTTCTCTAGATTTCAAGGAGAGTCAAAGATAAAATGAGAATTTTAATTCAATTTCAGAAAAAAATGGTATATGACTTGGATAAGAAAGCATAAAATTAGGAGGCTTTTCTGGAAATGCAAGAAAAAGAAATAACCTTTAATATGTTCAATGATAATTTTCTGGATTTTCCTCTTGTGTCAAAAGCTATATATTTTCTCCTCAAAGCAGCTGCTCTAAGAACTAACTAGCCCTCTTCATCTCCCTCTAGCTGGGATAGACTAATTCCCCTCCACCCCCACCTCTCTTCTTTCAATAACACTGCGTAGGTGTTAATGGCCTGGGCTCTCACCAATGAACAGAATTGTCCTTTAAGCCAGCAAACCAAAGGCAGTGGCACCCAAAGCCTCACCCCCAGTTCCCAGGGCAGAAGCCACAGAGCTGGCATTGTTTCCACTGTCTCAGGAAAAAGGAGCCAAAAGCTGACCCTCAGCATAAATCAAAGCCCAATATGGAGAGGGAATAACTGCTTCTAGGCCCAGAGTAGGCAAACTGTGGGCATAAAAGGGGAGTTTTTGCAGCCACCTCATCTTTAGAAACAAGGGGGAAATTAGACCCTTTTCTACTATTATGGTCTACAAGGTACTCTACTGCTCCAAGGGGATCTGAAAGCACAAAAGGATCTAACGAGTAAGGATAACTTTTCCCAGGCTGGAGATAAGAGTGACAAACAGAAAGATGGGTGAATGTAATAATGTGTAGGAAGATGATGCTGGGAACCTCCATTCTTCACATGGCTGCCAGCCCTAGAGAGGACAACACAGTAAGAACCAGAACAACCACTCCAGACTGGTATAGCTGGGGAATCTTCAGGCCTTTTCCTAGGTCCCACATCTGTGGAGAAAAAAAAAAAGGAATTTCCGTAACCAGGACACTTACGGTTCTGCCTCAGAAAGTAATTCTACCTAAAGGAATAGACACCTCTTCTCAGCGTAAGTCTAGAGAAGAGCATTTCTACCCTTATGTCCCACCTTTACCTTTCTCAAAACCCACAGTATGGAACCTATTATCCACTTATTCCAATGACAGAAAATCAAGTTCTATTGTGTGGTGATGGTAGGAGGAATGTTCTCTAGAATGCCACAGGCCCTATGTGGTGTACAAAAGTTTCCAGACTGAATAGTTACAACTTTTCCTCATGACCACACGTCTAGATTAATGTTTCTCAAAGTGTGTTCTTCCAAACACTTGTTCCTCAGAATGTTGAAAGCATTATATGGGACAAAAACAGTTCTGTGGTCATACAAAGTTCGTAAACATTTAACTGCAAGGCTTTCTAAACAGTTTATTAATGCATACTGTGAATCTGCATGATTTCCTAGATACAGTCAATCACAGAATCTTTTTATGGAGGGTAACTCTGTTTATTAGAGGACTAGTATTTCTAAAGGATACTCTGACCTAGAACACTATTTCTCAATTTTGTTTTGACTGTGACTCTACTAAGAAATACCTTTTAAATTGGAACCCAGTAGATATGTATATATAATATAGGAAAATTGATAAAACAATATTTACCATTACTAACTGGTGCCATACACACACACATATTTATATATGTTATGTATAAAATAAATTTCATTAAACATTTCTTTTTCCTTTTTGTGGAGAATGGGGTCTCATTATACTGTTCAGGCAGGTCTTGAAATCCTCGGCTCAAGCTATCCTCCTGCCTCTCTACTTCCTTAAGAGCTGGAATTACAGGCATAAACTTCTGCACCCGGCCTCTCCAGCTGGCACAATCTTGGCTCACAGCAACATCCACTTCCCAGGTTCAGGTGATTCTCCTGCTTCCGGCCCCTGAGTAGCTGGGACTACAGGTGAGTCCCATCACATTCAGATAATTTATGTGTTTTTAGTAGAGATGGGGTTTTGCAATGTTGGCCAGGCCGGTCTCAAACTCCTGACTTTAAGCGATCCACCTGCCTCAGCCTTCCAAAGTGCTGGGATTACAGGCATGAGTGACCACACCCAGCCCCAGCCTATATTTTCTATTCTGTTTAATTTCTTTTTTTGTTGGTAGCACACCACTAAATTGGTTTTCTGCCCATTGAGTTAAAACCCATATTTCTTTTTAATATTAAAAAATAGGCCGGGTGCAGTGGCTCACACCTGTAATCCTAGCACTTTGGGAGGCCGAGGTGGGCGGATCATTTAAGGTCAGGGCTTCCAGACCAGCCTGGCCAAAATACTGAAACTCCACCTCTACTAAAAATACCAAAAAATGAGCCAGGCGTGGTGGTGGGCACCTATTTCCAGCTACTCGGGAGGCTGAGGCAGGAGAATTGCTTGAACCTGGGAGGCAGTGGTTGTGGTGAGCCAAGATTGTGCCACTGCACTCTAGCCTGGATGGCACAGAGAGACTCCATCTCAAAAACAAAACGAAAAACATTAGAGT